TATTGGGGCTCGATTGGTTCCCCCATCTCGGCCTAGGGCTAACAGGAGTCCATGCTGTCTCAACCTCAGACACTGACTCCTTATTCGCTGATTACTCAGATGTATTCAGCGAGGAGCTGGGGTGTTATAACGGTACCCCCATCTCATTCTCAGTTGACCCCCAGGCAGTCCCAATCAGGCTAAAACCGCGTAGGGTCCCATTCGCTATTCGGCCAAAACTAGATGCGGAATTGGATAAACTGTTAAAACAAGGGGTCATTGAGCCAACAGATTTCGCCAAATGGGAGACGCCCATTGTCACACCCCTCAAAAAAGACGGTAGCCTGACAATTTGCTCGGACTACAAAACGACAATCAATAAATTCCTACAAGTTAGCGCTTATCCTGTGCCCGTCATTCAGCATTTATTACACACATTCGAACCAGGCAGCATTTTTGCTAAATTGGACATGTCTCAAGCATATCAGCAGTTGCCTGTTGATAACCAAACAGCGGAACTCCAGACCATTGTCACTCACAGGGGTGCCTTCCGATGCAAGCGTCTCCAATTTGGCGTAAGTGTTGCCCCAGGTATTTTTCAATCCCTCATGGAGCGGATTTTGCAGGGCCTCCCTGGTGTAGTACCCTACTTCGACGACATCTTAGTCTCGGCCAGGGACAGACCCCAACTCTTCCAGAGAGTCAGAGCAGTGTTAGAGAGGTTCAGACAGCATGGCCTCAAATTGAAAAAAGAAAAATGCGCCATTGCCACTAGACAGGTGGACTTTCTGGGTTATAAAATTGACGCCTCTGGCATTCACCCCCTGGAGTCCAAGGTTAAGGCAATCCACGAGGCACCCACTCCAACCTGCAAAACTGAACTACAGGCTTTCTTGGGGCTATTGAACTTTTACGCATCCTTCTTGCCCCATAAAGCATCAGTAGCTGAACCCCTACACAGATTACTGGATAAAAAGTCACCGTGGCACTGGGGGCACAAAGAAGACCATGCTTTTCACGCCGTCAAATCACTACTCACGTCAGAGGCGGTACTTATTCAATTCGACCCTAACCTCCCTTTAGTGCTGGCAGCAGACGCATCCCCTTTTGGAATTGGGGCAGTACTAAGTCACAGGCTTCCCAATGGCGCTGAGGCTCCCATCGCCTTTTTCTCAAGGACGCTCTCTGCAACGGAGCGCAATTACAGCCAGATCGATAAGGAAGCCCTAGCAGCTGTTGCAGCCGTGAAAAAATTTCACGAATTTCTTTTTGGCCATTTTTTCGAGCTGGTCACGGACCCCAAGCCCCTCCTGGGCCTACTAGCCGGGGACAAACAGACCCCTCAAGTCCTTTCCCCTAGGATGACAAGGTGGACCCTCTTCCTAGCAGCCTACTCCTACAGACTGATACACCGCCCGGGTAAAACACTGTCCCACGCTGACGCTCTCAGTCGCTGCCCCTTGCCGGCTCCGGCTGAAGACCCTGCTCCTGTCCACGCTATTTTCGAGATCACCCAGTTGGACCTCCCCATCACTGCCCTTGACATTGCTGCTAAAACCAAGGCAGACCAAACGCTCGCCCAGGTGCTCGACTGGGTGAGGAGGGGGTGGCCGGGTGGCAATGTTGAAAACAAATTCACACCTTTCAAGACTCGCATGCAGGAGTTGTCCAGTTTGCAGGGCTGTCTGCTATGGGGCACTCGAGTGGTCATCCCGACCTCACTGCGTACCCGAGTTCTGGAAGCGTTGCACGAGGGACACCCTGGCATCGTGAGAATGAAGGCATTAGCACGCAGCTACGTGTGGTGGCCGGGTCTCGACGAGGACGTTGTCAATTGGGTAAGTTCCTGCAGCATTTGCCAGGAATCCCGTCCTGCTCCCCCCATTGCCACCCCTACTAGATGGGAAAGCGCCAGCGCTCCTTGGTCCAGAATTCACATCGACCTGGCCGGCCCCTTGCATGGGAAGATGTTCCTAGTGGTCGTGGACGCCTATTCTAAATGGATTGATGTAGCACAGCTATCCACGACCACCACACTAGCAATCACCAACGTGTTAACACGCCTGTTCGTAACGCACGGGCTACCCGACTCCATTGTCTCCGACAATGGCCCACAGTTCGCATCGACCGAGTTCAGCCGTTTCGCTGCCAACCTGGGTATCCGCCACATTTTCACAGCCCCATTTCATCCTGCCAGTAACGGATTGGCTGAAAGGGCCGTCAGGACCACTAAAGAAGCCCTGGCTAGGTTCAGCAAGGATGACTGGCACCACAAACTCTCGCGGTTCCTGATGAGCCAGCACTCAACTCCTTGTTCAGTCACCAATAAGTCCCCAGCTGAGCTCCTGATGGGCAGGCGTCTGAGGACTGTATTGGACAGACTTCACCCACAATACTGCCCTGACTCTCCCCTCGCTTCCACATCGGGGGTTAGACATTTTATCTTACAGGAGCCAGTATTCGCGAGGAACTTCGCTGGAGACCCCCTGTGGATCCCGGGCGAGATCGTAGCCATCACCGGGCCGCGGTCGTATCGGGTCAGACTGGAGGATGGCCGCGTCTGGAGAAGACACATAGACCAACTGCGTAGGCGCCACAGCACCCTCGCCAGCAGGGATCCAGAGTCACAAGACGAAGGGAGGCCTCATCTTCAGCCCCACATCCACATCATGTCCGGCGACCAGTTCACACCAACAGCCGATCCCGAAGGCCCGAACACGGACAGCGGCGCCCAGACGGTTGACCAGCCCGATCCAGTCTACGGGAGCACATCCCGAGTGTCTAACCCTACGAGCCCCGGGCATGCCCGAACCGAGGGGCACACTGATGACACTTTGCCGGCTCTGCCTTCCCAGGCAGACCCCGAACGGACAGACAACGTTCCAGAGCTGCGCCGTTCCGGGCGCCAACATAAACCTCCTGCCTACCTCAAAGACTATGCGTGTTCGCATCTGGGGGGAAGGGGTGTTATGTCCTGAGAACTCTAGGAGTTCTCACTCAGGTCCACTCACTTTGCGTGGGCGTTCTTCCCTTCACTCATTGGTTGGTTCTCCCCAGCAGCCAGCTATAAAAGCAGGCTGCGGGGTCCAACCAGTTGCTGATTGCTGCGAGCCAGTTTCCAGGCGTGGCAAGCACGATCAGCCCTTTATTGTTATAATAAAGTATTGTTGCACTCATGCTCTGGTTCAGCCTCTCTTTTCCCAAACTTAACATCAACCTTGCCAATATTGTGTGTAAATGAAGGCTGGCTGCTGCATCCCTTCGTGCTCCCAGGTCCTTGCCTGACTTCACTCTTCACATTAAAGAAACATCTGAAGTTTAGCAAAGGAGAACTATCACATTCTAAAAGAAAATGTGGTTTCTCAGCATTACCTTGATTTCCCAGGGTGCCTGGTCCCACCTCCTTTCTCAGAAATAAAAATGAAGGTGGCTGAAGGTTAAGACATGTTCTAGAAGTTGTCTATCCAGCAAAGGACAAATATAAGTACCAGGTATTATCCCACTGAAGAGACAAGGTCAGGGACCAGCCTGGTGCTCCATCACTGGAGGTTTTCAAGAAGAAATTGGAAAGCCATTTATCTGAAGTAGTACAGAGTTTCCTGCTTGAGCAGAAAATTGGACTGGCAGACCTCCAAGATCCCTTTCAAATCTGTTATTCTGCTATCTGCTTAGGTATGGTGGCCATTTGTTGAAAAGAGGGGGTGGGGAAGTTGTATATTGCAAAATTGTTCTCAAATTGTCCACCAGCCCGTAAAGAGACTGAGGACCCTTGTTTGATGGCTGAAAACTGGGAGACTATGAGTTATAGTGCTACCTTAGGCACGAAAACCAGCTGGCTGACTTTAGGCCACTCCCTCCCTCTCTCAGCCTGCTTCATCTCAGGGTTGAGAATTAATACATGCCTGTTATTGTTCTGACCCAACTTGGCAAGAGAGCCAACACCAGGCAAAGGCAGCAGCCCCCACCTTTTAAGGTTTCGTCTACAAATTCTGTTTCTTCATAGATTAAAAGCTCTTCATAGATAAAAGGTTGCTTCCAACTAATTAGCTCCGACAAGAAACAGTCTTGCCAAGTTGTTTTTCAAGGCTGCCAAAAACCCACAGATAAGAAATAGTTTACAAGAGTTTTCAAATACTAACTATAATGTCTACGAGGCTGAGTTTCAGTGCGTCTTTGCCTTCTGCAAAGAACGCTTCTTCAAAGCTGGCTTTTATCCTCTTGGGGGAGGGGCCATTACCTTGCAGCCTTACTCCCAAGTTGCCTGTGCTGCTGTAACTGTTCTCTCCTATGAGCAATCCTCAGCACAGGCTCCTCAGGAACCTCCTCATCACTGCTGCCAGCCCCCACAATCTCTGAAGGCAGCAGTCCACTCCCTAATGGTCCTGGCCCCTCATCTGAGTCCTCACACTCCTCCACCATCTGCACTTGCTGCCGGCTAACCACAACAGTTATTCCACCTTTAAAATCCTGTAAATACAGTATTGCTCTCTCCTTGTTATCACTTTCCAGAATGACTATTTTACACAGGATGCCTCTCTTAAAGATTTCAGTGTTACTCTGCCATCGATCAGCATTAAATGTCCCAAAATAGACAATTCCATCCATTGTAACAGTTCTTACAAATTAGTTAAGCAGTAGAAAAGTCTTATGTGATGTGCAATGATTCAAAGGCTTAAAAGCTTCCTCCGTAAACTGAATAAAATTGATTTCTTATTGTTTTAAAGGATTCAGGAAGCCATCAGCCAAAGGAAATTATAATATTGCTTAAGGCAATAGTTTAAACAACTTCCTCAGGTGCAACCGACACCTAACAGAATTCTCTTGATGCAATTTTTAATGCTGAATGGTGCCTGGTAGTGACATTTAAGTCCAGATCCCTTCATTTTCTGTTATTTAAGAGTTGTAAATGCTATTGTCTTCTGTAGATTCTTTTAAAAAAAATATTTGCGGAAATAAGCACGTGAGAGGGCGGAGTAAAGGAAACACATATTCCTAAAATGACATGCTGTTTTGTAGTACTGCTTTTATTCCATTTATCAAGTTTGACTCTCTGTTCATCTGACAAAGTGAGCGGTCTTTTGTGCTTCAATTTTTGGTCCCTCAAGCTGGTTAAAATGACAACTGTTCTGCTTCAGATCATGGCTGTCCTTCTCGTCTTCTGGGTGACTCCTAGTAAGTACTAAATATTCCAACCGCCCCCCGCTCCCACTGAATTTATATTTGGTGTCTCTGGTGGAATTTAGAAGCTGACTAATGAAAGAGCAAAGGCACATCAAGTAGAGTATTCTAATTTGTCTGAATGTTTTATATATAAAGAATTTCCTCCAATGATAAGTTGCATGCAGTTATCTTAAAGTGATGGCAATATACTACAATATATAACAAAAAAGGGGGGAAAATCTTTGGTTTACCTGAGATAATGTAGTTTTTTTAACAATAGCATATTTAACATTTTATAACATTTTCTATGGAAGGGGAAATTTCTGTTAGAGAAATCTCATGGGAGCCTTAATTAATATAGAAAAATATGAGAGATGCAGGGAAGTATAATATAATATTTATGTGTACTAGGTTCACACATCAAAATAGGCTACATGTTGAGACATTTTTTAAAAAACAAGTGTTATCCTTAGATTGCAGGAAATAAGAACATTAAATCAGGTTTTAACAGGGAACTTAATTGCTAATATATGTGATTCTGATGCTGTCCTCTGATGAAATTTTTCAAGCTCAGTCAATAAGGATTTGGTGGGCATGCACAATATGTGTGTGTATGAAATGGATTGAACAAAACTCAAGGTTTCCTAGTCTATCACAACATTTTTCCTTAAGTTCTGACTCCTCTCCTAGTGCAGCTGAAATGCCATCCATTATCAGTCCATTAGCCAGCAGAAAACTACAAAACATAAAAAATGTGGTGTTTCTGTTGTTGATCCTTACCTTTCCACAGGAAGGATGCTATCATATGGGTATGGGTATTATCACATACTGTGTGCAGGGGACTTTAAAGAAAGATTTTTACCACCCAGCAGGAAAATATACATTACTCTTCTCAACAATGGGGATTGTGAAATGCATTTGGAAGGACATGTATCCCCATGCTGTTAGCTACTAATTGCTGACAGGATCATGGGAGAGACATAGTGTAGTCCAGTCTTCCTCTTTCCACACTTTATATGTAACAGCTGACAGGCACATGGGAGAGCTGGTGTGATGCTATAGGATTCGTGGTGTACCTTGCAGCCCTCCCATGCATTTGTCATCTATTAACATAGCCTATTTTAAAACATGAGCTTAGAACTCTTCTAAAAGAGTCTTAAACCCATATGAAGTAATCCAAGTCACACTTTAAAAGGATCAAGAGGATGGCTTTTGCAGTGCTGAGAAAAATCTACTTTCTGACTGATGACATAGCTAGCTTGTACTATCTATCAGCTGATAGATAGACTATAGCTGATAGATAGACCATAGAGAATTGTACCATGAAGTTGCAGCAAGAGAGGCTCCTCTCAGGCTATAATTAGTGCATTGCTCCTGCCATCATTGGTCACCTGCTATTTAGGCCAATATATGTCTTTAAGCTAGGATTGCCTCACAGATCTGGCAGATAAAGGGAAAACCTGATTTGAAAGAATTGGATTCACCTACTGCCTAAGACCCTGGAGGACAATGCCCAAGAATACTAACAGTTGAGGGCACCATAAGGTTGGCTCTGATTTGGGTAGGACATGATCTGAAACCAACCTCAGGAAGATACACCAGAGCATGTTCATGGGCCTTTAGGTGCAAGTGGGGGCAGTAAGAAAAGCCAAACAGCATTATTTCTCAGCAACTTCTGAAAACAAAAGTGGACTGCACTACTTTATGTAAGACTTACTGAAAGAAAGTACAGTTTCCAATTGTTTAAAAGGGGATACAGTAATGCCAGGAAATATTGCCTCCTAATGGATTGTGTCCTGTTAGTAAAAACTCACTTGATCATACTTCATGAAATTCAAACCTTTCCTGTCTATGTCAAGGGCAAGCAATGGTACCTTGCAGATACGGTCATATATTTGCAACAGCAACTAAATAGCCACCTTTTCCACTTCCTTGTGACAATTTGAAGATATCTGCGATTGTTTTGAAGCCTATCATTCTTGTATTGCTGAGAACAAGGAAAAAATAATCATTATTATTCACTCAATATTGCCTCGGGTTGGGGATACATAAGTTGGTTCAAGTCCACCCTTAGCCATGGAAGTTTATCAAATAATGTCCAAACAGTCAAGTTCTCTCATCAAAGCCTACATCACAAGCAGCGGTCAAGGAAGGGTGAATGACAAAAGTAGTTATGACTCCATTGCAGTACGGGCTCTGCTACTTTTCTATGATGTTGAATGTACAGTAAAAAGGAAAAATAGATTATGTACAGTACTTTGTGCACCTGAGTTAAAGACAGGAGGCATTCCTGTAAATCTTTTTTCTTATTTATTTACTGACAAGGATTTATATACTGCCCAGACTCTAAGATTCCAGATGGTTTGCAGGGCAAAAATAAAATATTTGCATCTCAATACAGAGAGAATAGAAGAAAAGCAACTCAGTAGCAACAGCCAAGCAAACAATTGCAATTGGTCACCAAATTATCCCTACTTGATCACATAGACTGGGCAGATGGCATCTGAGAGTAACCTGGAGTCAATCCACAGAGGGCTTTAACTATAATTGACTAAAACAATTGAGATTTAATATATAGTAAATAAGAAAATAATGCATAATTCATAAATCCTAAAAAAGCATATTAATCCAAATCAGGAGAAAAAATATACTGAATTCACAATGCCACATAAGGATATTTAGTACAAACATTCTAAATACTCAAAAATAAGTAAATAAGGGGATAAGGAGCATCCTGCAGTTGAAGCTCCAAATCCCTTGTACTTTCGATGGTCAAATGTCATTGGGCTGCTGCTATTTTTGAATTCTCATTGTCCACTGGTTACGTCCAAGGTCATACCAATTAAACTGACACTATTTTGATTAATTCCCAAAGCGAAACATTGAATTATTTCATTATATGATTCCAAACTGGCCTTTTTGTATGTTTTGATATTTATTACTTTCTATATTTGTGTTTGCCCTTTTTATGTTTGCTGTTCTAATCTATTCTGCTCCATCCAGAGCTGTCTTCAGTGGGGTGAGCAGCTATAGGAATTTAATTAATCGATTATCTGCCATCAAGTCATTGTCAACTCTTAATAACCACATAGATAGAACTTAGTGGCATTGATAAAAGAAAATGAAGTAGATTTAAACCATGGGCTCTACAAGACCTCCATGTCCATTTAAAGTGATCTGCTTGAAAAGATCATGTGAAATAATCCTTTCTAGTTTGCAATTAGCCTGATTCAAGCTTGGTTTGATTCAGGATCTCTTTTTCAATAAACTTAATATTCAGTATATTCATAAAACAAGACTCTGGTTTAGGTGTTATTAATGAAGGTTATATTATTATTCCACGTTCACAGAACATTAAAAACCAATCAGCTGAACATTATTAAAGTATAGTACAATAGTGTAGAATAAAACTAAATTCAATCCAATCCAGCAGTTTATATGGGAGAAATTAAAAGGGCAAAGCCCCTTCCTCCTCAGAAGACCTAAAGCCTGCTAGCTAGCTAAGGAGTGGGAGGAGCACCTGCAGATGAAGAAACAGAATAACAAAATAACAGAGTTGGAGGGGATCTTGGAGATCTTCTAGTCCAATGCTCTACTCAGGCAGGAGACCCTACACCCAGGGGTGGGATTCAAATTTTTTAACAACTGGTTCTGTGGGCATGGCTTAGTTGGTGGGTGTGGCTTGGTGGTCATGTGACTGGGTGGACATGGCTTGGTGGTCATGTTACTGGCTGGGCATGGCCAACTCAATATCACTCACATCGAGTAGTATGCATGTCGTCGCCTGGACTCTCATGACTGTGGGGATGCTGCAACAGTCCTAAGTGTGAAAAACGGTCATAAGTCACTTTTTTCAATAGTCACTCCATACAAGCAAAGTATCACCAAAGGAGGGGGAAAAAACTCCAGAGGTGTTCCTGAGACAGGAAGTCTAGTCCTGCCGAGAATGTAAAAAGGGTCAGTGGAGAGGCAGTTTCTGTAAACAACCCCAGAATGTTTCCTTCCTGCCTTCCTTACAGGATTAGGCCAGTAATTTCTTCTAACTACAGGTTTCTGAACTGCTTAGAATGTTAACAACCAGTTCTAGCGAATAGGTGCGAACTGGTAGAATCCCACCCCTGCCTACACCATTTCAGACAAATTGTTGTCCAATCTCTTCTTAAAAACTTCTAGAGTTGGAGCATTCACAACTTCTGGAGGCAAGTTGTTCCACTGCTTAATTGTTCTAACTGTCAAGTAATTTCTCCTAACTTCTAGGTTCTTCATTCTTTGATTAATTTTCATCCATGGCTTCTTGTCCTGCCTTCAGGTGCTTTGAAGAATAGGTGGACTTCCCCTTCTTTGTGGCAACCCCTCCAATATGGGAAGATTGCTATCACCCTATTCCTTCTTTTCATTACATTAGACAAACCCATCCCAGCAGCCGTTCTTTGTATGTTTTAGCCTCCAGTCCCCCAATCCTCTTTGTTGCTCTTCTCTGCACTCTCTCTAGAGGCTCAACATCTTTTTTGCATCATGGCAACCAAAAATGGATGCAATATTCTATGTGTGGCCTTACTAAGGCTTCATAAAGTGGTATGAACACTTCTTGTGATCTTGATTCTATCCCTCTGTTAATGTAACCAAGGTCAACCTTGGGATTTTTTTGGCAGCTGCAGCACACTGCTGGATCATGTTTAAATGATTGTCCACTAGGACTTCTAGATCCCTCTCACAGTTATTGCTATTGAGCCAGGTATCATCTATAATATCTATATTATACCTGTGTATTTGGTTTTTCTCACCTAAATGTAGAACCTTACGCGTAGAAACAGTCTATGCATAAGCTTGCAGGTTTTGTTTGTGTTAGTGGTATTGTTCGTACCATTCAGATCAGTGCTTATGATCCCAAATAAAATAAAGCTGCCTTCGAATTGGCACCATTCTTGTGTAGGAGTACTCTTGAAAGTAGACCACTCTATTTTTTCATATTTTATTTGTGTCCCCTCTTTATTATTTTAATATACAACTCAAGGTGGTAAATGTACCTAATGCTCTTCCTCCTTCTATTTTCCTCACAACAAATAACCCTGTGAATTACCAGGCACTGCTGAATTGGTCTCATTTTGGTTTGCCTAGATCCCTTTAGAAATCTTTGCTACTATCTGGGTCCATGTTTCAGCTTATTTGCCTTTAATGGAAGACAGAAATGCTGAAGAATATTAAACAGGGTTTTCTTTTTCCATCCCCCATATTGCTCAAATTGTTTGCCAATCCTGATGCATCCATCCTTTTTCAGAGGGAATAAAAACTCTCAAGCAAGGATGCAACCAAGTGACCTTTCTTTAATTCTGCCTACTCATAGCACACAAAAGCCAAGACAGCACTTTTTTCAACCCTAACATCATGACGTTCCTTTCCTTTTGTTCACACAGTCCATGGGCGAGACCAATAAGCAGCAGTAGCACTTCCCCTCCTAATTCTGACACCATGTTCTGCCTTAAAATGTCTACACATTATTAGTCTTTGTCACCCATTACTGGGTGGGTGGTAATGGCTGGAAAGCGAGACAGCATACATCATGTTGATATAATTTCCGGCTGACTAAAGAATGGATGGAGACTGGAATAGGCTGAGAACTTAGAAAGTGCAAAGTGTATCTGGAAGAGGGAATCTGAGGATGTCTGCCACACTGGAATGAAACTCTGTCCTTTAGCTGGATCGCCACAATATAGGACAAGTTCATTCTTGATTTCGAAACAATGACCTCATGACTGAGGGATGCCCTTTCTCTCTCTTTTGCTCTCTTAAAAAGTTTATCTGCTCTTTAAACCTATCATTATGTGTGTTCATTTTCTCCTTATCAAATCCAGACCTCACTATTACCCCTTACAAAATTCTAGGATCTTGTGCCCCCGTCCCTCTTCTGTTATTTCTAATTTGGCATTTATTCTTTGGTTTATTAGTGTATTCAATGGATCATACTAAATGATCTTGAATGAAGGCTGAGTCAACCTTGAGCCTGGTGAGATTTGATCTGCCAAACTGCAGGTAGCTGGCTGCAGCAGAAGTAGTTTGCAGTACTGCACTCTAACCACTGCGCCACCAAGCCTCTATTTATTTATATATTTATATATTATTTACATATTATATATTGTGCTAAACTTCCAGGAGTAAATATCTAGCCCAGTGTTTCTCAACTTTGGCAACTTTTAGAGACGTGTATCTCAACTCCAGGATTCCCCAGAGTTGAAGTTCAAACCTTTTAAAGTTGCTAAAGTTGAAAAACTCTGATTTAGCCTATAAGGTGGTAAAAACTATCTCTGTGTGCCAACTGTGTGCCAACTTGACAGATGTTTACACTTGGCAAAACATGTAGATGGCCAGCAGCATGGTGCACTCTCAGGACAGAGTCATACAAGGAAGCCAACTTAGCCAAGGATTCCACTGCAGAATTTTGTTTGTCATTTTTCAGTGGGTCTGGTTCAGTACAACAATGGCAGGAAGACAGTTCTATTCCAAGGGAAAGTGATGTGTGATTGTAAAGTGTGCATTATTTCTTGGCATGTTACTAACAAGTGGAAAGCAGGAATGCGACCGATATCACAGTAAAGGGGCTTTTTATGGAGTTGACTGAACAGGCTGGGAACTGATGGGAAACTACTTCTTTTTCTTGGAATCTTGCCCTTGGACTTGTTCAGGCAAGTTGCTTCCCTTTTTTCTTGGCCTATTCCACTCTGTGCAATAAATGTTGGCAAGCAGACCATGACCGATCACTTCTGCTTTTAATGGGGCTGTAGTTCACCATGGATAAAATGAAAAACCAATGGTTCCATATAACTGGCCAGGAGGGGAATGAAGGACTATCACTCTGTGCTTTTCAATCAGGCACTTCTCTGCACGGAACTGTTTCAGACTTACCTTCCTTTTGAAGGAAAGGTCACTAGTAACTCAGTGGTTACTCTCTGATTATTTATAATCGCATGACTAGAACATAGTAATGCTATTAATCAGAGGAAGGTGGTGACTTTGGTTAATGGATAAGCAAAGGTAAAGAGGTGGAGGTTGGGGCTTGGGGCAGTGCAGCCTGCAAGGTACCCCTTAGCCTTCCAACAGTAGAAACTGGGGAGGAAGTTACAGTGATTGCAGCCTTCCCATTGCTACTCAATTGGAGGATTGCCCTTTGGCTCTAGGTCCTATGGACAATGTTGTTTTAGTATCTATATTGAATTCAGCTTGCAGTCCAATTGATCTTTATATATAGAAAGGATGGAGGGTGCCCAAATGTCCATTCCTTCAGGAGACATATTGACTTGAACAGATCTTAGTAAGCAGCAAAATATTTTGGATGGGTAACAGATCTTTACTACCTGTAGGATGGCTCTTCTGCATTCTTCAGCCTCTACTATTTTTCCTCTGCCTGCGCTTATTCATTTGGCCTCAAAATTGCTAACCCTGCCTCTGCCTCTCTTTTAAGGGAGATGAGGTGGATGGAAGAGCATCTTCTTTTCTAGTCTATGTTGGCTTCCCAATTATTCTGGGGAGGACTCAGAAACAGAAATAGAAAACCACTTTCTAGCTAATACAGTAACACAAAAACAATAGCCAGGCAAACATCTGATTAGCATTGTTGCACAAAATATTAGTGGCAACATAGAGAGTGGCTGGGTGGTAGGGGAGGTAATGTGGCATTGTAAGAAAGGTTACAGCCTGGGGTGTAGTAATGGTCTGTGGGAATGACTTTGGGAGACAGGAGGATGAGCTGCAGACTAGGCAACAGTCAGATAAGAGGCAGCTAAAGTCGCAGAAGGAAAAGGGATATGGCAAATATCTCAGAAAAAAAGCCCTCTCTAGTTTCTTGAACTGTATAGATGAACAGGAGAGATGCATTTTCAGATTTGCAAGTTTCTGTTAATGTAACCTTGCAATAAAGCTAGAGCTAGTTTTGGGTGTGCTTCTATCTGGACTACCTCACAAGGCTGATAGACACTCATACTGAAATTCATACTAGACTTTGGAAGGATGTTGAATTCTCTAAATTATAGCATATCATAAATCAAGTAAAGATGCACAAGCAGCAATTTTATACTTTATAGCAAATTTTCTTGGTTTTGATGCTGGAAAATGCAGTATAGGTTTATCCAAATTCAGTGATCTGAAATGTCCTTATAAATAAAAATATCAGTGTTACAGCCATGTAATATCAACAATGTCTGTGGATGTAAAATAGATATTAAATGACAAAAGCAACGTTCAGCTCTTGTGGAATTATGATAGCAATCTCAACTAAATGACTTTCCAGGAAATATAGATCTATATCTGTGAGTACTCTGACAAACTCCATCAGTGATCATCTTTTTTGCCAGTAGAAACTCCAAATTTAAGCTTTGTAATATTTCACTGTTGTCTGAACTCTGTTTTAAGATTCACATGAAAGATCTGAATTTTTCTCCATTTGGCACAGTTGTTTTGCATGCAAAATAGTTGCTTTGTATTTGGATTGTATTTTTTCGGACGTTTGGAAGTATTTCAAGCCTATAACATTTCCCCTCCAATTTACCAAGTCAGCTGAAAGTGTCTTCTCTGTACAAATGTCGCTCATCTATAGTCCTACACAGGAAATGAAAAAGCAGGGCATCCAAGCTTTTTCCACTGAAAGAAAATTGAAAAAAACAAGCTGATGCAGCTGCTTGAAATATGGAAAAGAACAGAGGAGAAGGGACCTTCAACCCAGATGATTCTTCTTCTTCTTCTTCTTCTTCTTCTTCTTCTTCTTCTTCTTCTT